GTGAAAATTTAACCTTAGAATATATTGGCAAAAACACATCTATATGTAACTAAAGCAAAATAGAAAAGCGAAACCTGTTAGGTAAATAATGTGCGTGTTTGGACAGCATATAGTTCTGTCAATTCTAGCGGAAAATATTGGCCGTTTTTTGGCATAAAAATTTTTGATGCAACTCTATACAAACAGAACAGACTAAATATCAAATTCTTCTATACACTTTCTAAAAGATCAAATGAGCATAAATGATCGAATGCTTGTTTGCTTGAAGTCTTTTTCATTCAAATTCATTCTTTTTGGTGGTTAGTTTTTTTGTAAGATTTTTTTCATTCTGACATTTATATTTCTTTCAAATGAGTGTGTTCAAGATATTATTCCTTGATTTATAATCTACTACATAGATTATCGTGCAGAAATATCCTTCTGATGTAAATAAATTTTCTTCTTTTGTAAGTCAAGATGAGATGAGTATAACCACTCAAGAAATATTCTCGCGTAAAGAACAAGAAATGAGTTCGACACTTTAGTTGACTTTATGCTCTTTGTCTTTCCTTTACTTCGTCTTTGACAATACAGTCATAAGAGCAATCGATCTAGTGTCATCAACTAAATCAGTCTTTCTCTTTTGTTTTGCTACCAACACTGCCGATGAGTTGTTATTTTGATTTTTTTGCAGTCATAGAATCATAACTAGAGAATAGTTTTATAATAGCACTTGATATCTTCAAAGCATATTTTCGAATAAAATATTGTCAGGTGAATGCAAAGGTATGTTATGGAACTGACGCATATGTCAATTAGTTACCGAGACATAATTACTTCCTGTTATAATAAAATAAGTGAACTCCATAAGTTAAAGAGACAATTCAATATTTCATGATTACGTGAGAGCTAGTTAAGATTATATCTTCTAACTATTTTAACTCCATATCCACCTAAAATCGATTTCATTTACCGGTGTTCGGTTAGAATAAAGTGAAAATAGTTAGAAAATATAGTCATGACTGCGTCTCAAACAATCATAAAGTATTGAGTTGTCTCTTTATATCACTTGATCCACAAAGGACACATGTAAAAAACGTTTAATATATGAAACCAAAAAAAAAATTCGTAAAAATCACACATTTTAGCGTGTTAAAGTATCTGACACCGTAAAAACTTGTTTCAGAATTATAATGCGTACGCAACGAGTTAATATATGCGGTTTTCACAATTTGGAACGAGTTTATTTTTGACCTGTTTTTACAGTTTCTTTGTTATTGATTTGTCTAGCTGAGTACAAAGACATAAGGCTATAAGAAGATAAAGCTGTAAGAAGATAAGGCTGTAATGAGGTAAGGCTATAAAGGGCTAAGGATACAAGAGATAGAAGCGACGTATGGCTATAAGGTCGAAGGGCTACACGGGCTACAAAGTTATTAATGAAATAGGAATACGACATCTTAGGGATATCTATATACATAATATCGAGTATCTGTATGACTCTTATTATGTGAAAGGTGGAAGGTTTCAGACCATACGTTAAAGGAAAAAAAAGTAGCCGTGAAGTATGCACGGGTTCCTGCTAGTCTTAAAATGATTTCATTACATTTTTTTTAAACGTTTTTATATTATATTTGTTTTCTAAAGTATCGGGTGACCAATAATAAATGGTCGTACTTTATATCTCATATTTTCATCTCTAAACAAGTATTATCAAAACACAAAATATACCACATGATGTAGCGTGAAAAGTTCTACAATTTACATAAGACCGCTTTTCCTACAAATGCACTTTTTTACTTTCAAAATCGGCAAAATTCGGAGCGATCAAATTTCCACCATCCGAAAATTGATAGTGGAGAATTTTGCTTTTTTTGAAAACAATTACAATAAGCTTTACTGTATAAATTGTAGAGCTTTTCTCGCTGTATCTAGTGGTATATTGTGTTTTTTTAAAAAAAAGATATCAGGGGATAAAAAGATGAAATAAGAAAGACACGAATCCATCTTCTACAAAAAAATATCATTTTCGCATGGTCGAAATTTGATCGCTCCGATTTTTGTCGATTTTTAAAGTAAAAAAAGTCCAACTGTAGGAAAGTGGCCTGGTGTAAATTATAGAACTTTTCACGTTGCATCTTGCGATATATTTTGTTTTTTGATAAATACTTAACTAGAGATGAAAGTATTGAGATGCAAAGTGCGGCCATTCATTATTGGTCACCCGGTATTTAAAAACCGACTTCCAAATCTAGTTTAGCATTCGACTATATAGAATACATCTGCTAAGACTATTTAAATTTTTAATAAATGTTTTCCAAAAATGCACTGTTTGTACTGATAATAGTCCACTAGCGACTAAAACTTAAATATTTGCTTAGATGTAATCTTCAAAATGTATTCGTAATTATTACTCAGCTTACAATATTCGAAAAATAAACAAAGACAAAACGGACCCGAAACTTATGGAACATTTCTTTTATATATATGTTGTTTTCACCTAAAATCCGATGGTTAGATGAGATTCTTGCAGTTAGAATAGTTTTTAGCGTACTGTTTCACATGTTACTAGACGTTTGATTTGTAAACTGAGTAAATTGTTAGAGAAAATAGCCCTATTTGTAGACTTAATTTGCTCGAAAAATAGCTCATATGAGTTCCTAGTTATTACATTCTTCTCATTACCTTGTAACAATGACTTAATAATTTTATTTTGGTCTGTGAGAATCTCTACCGTGTAATAGAGACTCGCATAGTGCGAAATTAAATTAATGAGTCATTGTTACAAGACAATGAAAAGACTGTAATAATTAAGAGCTCATATGAGCTGTTTTCCAAGCACACTAAGTTTATGAATAGCGCTATTTTCTTCAACAATTTACTCAGTTTAGAAATTGAAGGAGTAAAAATGTACGCTTTTTACGATTTCATTTTCGTTAAAAGTTCGATGCGTTTTAACGCATTTGTTTCGTTGTTTGTTTGACTGAGTAGTTCGCTCTCGGATTAATCATATTTCTTCATCGCCCAAAAATGATATTGTTCACTTTTTACCTATTTGCTTTATTATGTAAGTCATAAAAAGTAGGAACCAGTATTAGCTTCTAGATGTATAGAGCTATAGGAGAATCAAAGTCACTGATATAATGTGACAGAACAAAGAAAAAAATGAACTCCATGAGACTTGAACCATACACTCTGCTATCCAGGCAGATGAAACGGATTCGACCAACACACGTATGATGATTCTCTACGGTAAAAGTGACCCAAATTTTAAAGAATCAAGCTTGATCTTTTTGCCATTCGTTTTGTATATTCCATTCATCACTCGCCTGGTTCTCATAATAAAAATCTGACTATGTTTTCATCCGACATGTACGACATCATATGGACAAAGATGTTCTACGAATCTAATTGTCATAGAATGTCGACACAGTGGTCTTTGAACAAGAAGGAGGACAATATATATTTTCTATAAATTTTTCTCCGCCTCGTATCTCATGACAAGTCCTATCGGTCTGAAAGAATGACTCATTCTATGTACTACGGTAGACATTATAGGAACGCATTGCTCATATTTATGCATACGTCATAATATTTTGGCATTATAGTCTGTAGAAAATATCAAGAACAGCATATTTCCTCATGTATTATTTTACTATTTTGTAGTTTTCGACGAGTTCGATCTACCGTACTGAAATTCTTCTTTGACATTGAAGTTTGCTCTGAATCACAGAACCCATAGAATGTTGCTTCTTAAGAATTCTACTGTGCGAATGTTAATTAGTTTTCACTATTTAAGAGTCCAAAAAAGTTATTCTATGGGTACAGACTAGTATGTCGTTGAAAAGAAGAGTATGTATAATATCAAAAAAGTTACTTCCTAAGTGGTTTTGAAATGGAACCAATTTAGAGACAAAACTGCCTTCGTCCTTTTCATCAAAGAATTTGTGGAAAAAATGCAAGTGTAAACTCGGAAGTCTAAATAGAACATTAGCAAAAACAGAATGACACTTAGGAAACTTGCGAACACCCATGAACACCTGAAAGGAAAGAGAAACAAAGATCTAGTAATAAAAGCAGGTAGAGTTCGTCCAACTATACTTACGAACATCTACAAATACCATATTTGAATAACTTTGTGAGAAATCCTTTATACTTCGACTAACGATTGACCTATGAAAATCCAAAACCATATGCAAAGGCTTACAAAGATCAATTAGACACGAACGAAAACATACGAAAGTCTTTTCTTTAATCTTATTTCAGACTCAGAATGTTAGCTATACTAAGAGTTCCTGAAAGAAAATATCTTGAAAACTTCGACTTTTTTCAGGTGTTGGTGGATGAGACTGGCGTTCACGTGTTACCAGCTGAAAAAGTCGAGTTTTTCAATACGTTTTGTTTCAGGAATTCTTAGATTAGTTAACACCCTATGCCTAAAACAACATCAAAGTCAAGCCTTGCGTAAGTTTTCGTTAGTGTCTAATCGGTTCTCATGGACCTTCGCACATAATCTAGAGTATCCGTAGGTCAAATATCAATCGAATTAGAAGATGCTTCTTCAAAAAGTTATTTTAAAATTGTGTCCGTAGATGTTCGTGAGTGTAACTTACTGAGTTCTACATGCTTATACTATTACATCTTTGTTTGCATTTCGTTCCAAATGCTCATACGTGCCCTAGTATTTGACAGATGACCATAAAAATGTATGCCACTATTCATGGTGCGATCTTTTCAACCTGTTTTGCCAGTGTCCTCTTTATATCTATCTTAAGATTATTTTTATGGCTAAGATAAATGCATCGTTCATGTTCTGTGTATCAATTTCAACGCTCGTATCATTTATATTCCTACTACTATGTTCTTACACGAACAAACGCTTTACTGCAGTAACATCTATTTCGAACGACCAAACACAAACAATATCTTCATATGCCGGTCAGAAGACAGATACATCTACTCAGGATTATGGTTGGAAATTGGTTGGACATACATATGATGAGCAGGTTCGTCTTCGAGACATGGCTACTATCGTTGCTGCCTGGCCTGAAACTGCTGAGGACAACGTACCTACAGTGCCATGTTTATCTGCTGATGGACATTTACTTGTACTAAGTGCTGGCGCAAGTCGTGTGCGCTATGGCGTAAGTGTGACTTTTATAATGGTCTATCCTACCGATGTGAAACGTGTCTTACCAAAAGAGAATTCAATACAACCGCTCTCTTCTAATTTGTTGAGCTTGTGGTGTGTTTTTGATGATGGATCGGTGACATCCGCATACAGTTACGATTCAAACTATGGCAACGATCGTGTATCTCTCCTTGATTGTTCACTCAGTCCCTTTGCTAGTGACCAATTATGGCGATACAATCGAACATTACGAGTGTATCTTGCTTCGACAACAGACAAAGATCGAAATGTACCCATTCTGAAAGCATTTATCACTGTTCCAATACTTTCTTTAATCCCATCCAATTCTAGTCAGGAATTGTTAACATTATGTACTTCACCACTACACAATGGAGCTGAATATTTAACTCAATGGATAGAATTCCATCGACTGGTCGGTTTTCGAAAGTTCGTTGTTTACAATACAACTGATAACCATCAACGCTTGTCATCTGTTGTCAACACTATCAATCGAAAATATTCGAATCTAGTTGATGTTGTTCAATGGAATTTCTCATCTCTTGGTCTGACTGACATTTTGTCGACACGATACTTTCAGACTGAAGCTTTGCATGATTGCCTGATTCGTTATGGTGATCAATCAGAATGGTTAGGTATGTTTGATCTCGATGAATACATTGTGCCTCTTGATCCATATCAAACTGTGCTTGACTATTTGCATGACAACTTTCGTCGACGTATCATCGAATCTATCAATTTGTGGAGTCAATTCTTCTGCACAAAAGAAGCTGATAGGTACACACTCGAAGAGAATGACACAAATCGTTTAGTTATCGATCGATTTATTCTTCGCACACGTGATCGTTATAAGCAAGGACGCGAAAAGTACCTTTATCGACCACGTTTTGTTCAGTATTTATCTATTCATCACCAAATCGTCGGTCTTTCAAAGGAAGAGCCCTCACAAAATCACATACTTTTGGCTCATTATGCATCGATGAATCGACTCCGAAGCATGCCAGGTTGTGGTACTGGTCAATATGTGACAGACAAGAGCGTTCGAGACAGATTCGCTAAAAGAGTCAAGGACGCAATAGAAAAAATGAGAGTATAATAATATATCTGTGTTAGAAAAGAGAAGTTTTGTGTAAATCATTAGTATTGCAACACTTCACAAATATTTGCCACATCACCTATAACTCGTCCGAAAAACATTGATAATTGTTGTTTGCGCACGACATCTTTCTCACGTAAAGCTACCTTTCCCATATCGTATGTATTTCTTCTTACTATTATTCTATTCGAAAATCTATGAACTCATCGAGCACTATTCCACAGAATCCACTACTCTAGCTTGATCTCAAACTCTATCTTATCTAAATGTATTTGAAAGAGTGTGTTGACAAATCTAGATCTGCAAACTGGTAGACGAAGCAAACAATTATGTGAGTCAGATGAGAGTTAACAAAAAGTAGGCATTGTTGAATTTTCGGAGAGAATAAGCTATCTCGTTTTTCACTTGTTTTCTTCGCTACTTTACTATCCATTTTTTCCTCAACTACTCATGAGACAGCGCTAAGAATACTGAATCACTGTTAGATGTTATACATTCTATACAGAAATCTGAGAAGCTGAAATTTGAAGATATCTTCTCTCGATTAAAAATATCTGAGGATAAGCTCTCAAGCAAATTCTGAAGTTTTCAGCGGCTACAAACCTCTTATATATTGCAGCCAAAGTTAAAATAAACTTGAATTGATATAATGCTTCTTGCCAGAAGACATACAAAGTCAACAAAGTTCAGAATGACCCCTCGCTATCATGCGTGTTTCTCAGTCAGACTATCTTTCATAGGCATGATACTTTCCTATGGTACTATTGTCGTGTTTTTCTTAAGAAGATCGTCCACTGGTTTATCAATAGTTCTCAAATGCGAATACTGATTTTGGGAGAACTCATATGGAGTATTGTAGATATTGAAGTATCGATTCTTCTTATAGCTTTGTCAATCATTCACTGATATTCAAACTCTTTCAAAAGAGAAAATAAATATGTAATAATAATCTGATCAATAACTAGCTATGCACTGCCAATATCTATTGAATAAAAAGTCAAAGTGTTCTGCAACAGAAATAAAAAATCTGTATCTATGGGACAAAATAGATACAAATTCATGTGATAATATGTAGTAATCATAATATTCGTATTATGATAACAAATACTTGAAGAATTTTCTACAGAAAATAGGTAAGATGTATCGAATCTGTCTTGAATTACTTTGATTCATATCAGTACAGAAGTAAGACATGGAACTCAATAGTTAACTTGTTTAAGTTTGCACTTATAGAATCATTTATTTGTCGAAAAGTTGATTATATTTCATCTTTTTTATTAATTCTATAATGACAAAATTAACTAAAATGAGGAATGTCCATAGATAAATTGCTTAAAGACAAGCATGATGCCACTATTTGACGAATAATTTAGGATAGATGTTAGCGAGTATTAACACATAAAATGAACTACGAGGAAGAGGATCACAACTGTCCTATATTCAAATACTGTTGTCATATTTTCCAATAAATAGATGATTCTCGTCTGCTAGTTCTAATTCATCCGAGAACTAGCTAGTTACTATTGTTGTGAATAATACTGAATAGAAACTATTATTCATCATAGTTTTGAGATTTTGTTGGATGATAAGAGAAGCATCAACATAATCAAGTCTAGATATCAATCTAACAGTAAAAAGATGTATTATTGCAACTTTTCTTGTCTAGAATGTTTTCTTCTTCGAATCTGATAAGTTTTTATAAAGAAAACAATTACGTTTAAATGAATCTAAAATGTCAATCATCTTATTGTTAATGCATACCATGAATTATTCATCAAGATTAAAATGAAAGTATTGCATTATCACATGTACAGTATTTATTACTTCAAAAATTATTATTATTATCAAATATATGTTAGCTTATAATATTATGGTAAGCTTAGACAGTGTGACCTAGAAAGTTTTGTTGTGAATATCCGTTATGATGAATATTTTTTAAAACAATATTAATTATATTGAAATTCTTTTGTTTTATTTAGCGTAACACAAAACATCAGATTTCTCAATGCTAGTTGGTTATGACCTCCCTCTAACTTGTTCGAATTGCGCTGACATATTTACCACAGATGCTTGGAAATATCTTTCAGAGATTAAAATCAATCGTTGTTATTTTTGACCTTCATATCTGAATTTATAGGAGTTTAAAAGACAACTAAACACATCTTGGCTTCAAATCTTTTCGCATTTCCCTCAAAAAAAATGGAAAATCCGATTTTTCGAAAGCACTCAAGAATTTTTCTAAGATATGGTTCAAGGTATTTCCAAGAGCATTTCAGATGGATCGGACAAACTTTAATTAGAGTCATAGTGTACTAATATGCTATCCTATGAAGAACCCTTTTGAAGATATTTTTCCTTCGATATGTGTCTTCTAGCTCAAAGTACTCTAGGTGTCGTGAAAAGTTCAATCTAATCCGTTGTACCCTTTTCAAGAATCACAAATGGACAAAAACAAGAAGCAGGGCATCCTTCAGACAGTTTTACATATATATTGAGTGATACGAAGATAGAATACATGATTATTCATAGAAGTGTATCTAGATCAAAAAAAGCACGGAAGAGCACAGAAAGTTAATAGTATTCGTTTTGATCAAAATATGGAATAGATGATTACAAGTAATGTTCGTGCCAGAATTAATGAGGAATAATGTAGACATTTTCATATTAGATAAGCAAAATTAGTTGAAAGTTCGACATGGTCAGAAATAATTCAAAATAGTCCATGAAAATGGTACACTGTTTCAAGAAAATTTACTACAAAAATCAACAGAATTCTATGGAATTGAACTAATAAGATATGTGATTAATAAAAAAGATTAGTTTGATATCTTCAACTTTCTAAGTTAGTGCTTTTGCAAAATGCCATTATCGAATTTGTTATTCTTAAAATAATGCGTTTTTTTACTTTGAGTTTCTCCACTTTGTTATTTAAAATTTTTTATTTAAAATTTAATAGTGTAACCAATTGCTACCTTAATTGTTCGAAGTCTCATGAACATTATTAAAAAAAAATGCCAAAACTGTCTGGACATCATTTATGAACCTGATGTTTGCTGATGGCTTCGCCACAGTATTTGAAATTCTTGAGGATGTGGATAGGGTCCTTCTCTGTGATAAACACAGATTCACATCTATACCCTCGTTGAACGAAAATCGATCGACCCGAGAAATAGTCGAAAAATTCATAATAAAACAGAAAAAAAAAAGATTTTTAACAAAAGCGAGAGTAGTGTGAAAAATAAAAAGTATTAATACATATGCTGTCACCAGTACTTAAAATTCTTGTGACAATACTCTTTACAAGTAAAGTGGACATTCACTTTTCTTCAGAACAATTGACTTCACGGAAGAGAAAAAAAATTAAAAATAATCGGTGTGGGATGTGCGAGTCAGTCTTTTTGGACCTCATCAAATGATCAAATCCATACCCAGAACTATACCGACCTTTCCAGCCACATCACAATCTCAAAATGCTTTTTTCTAATTCTACATTTCTGTCAGAATTAACTTCGATGTAATTTCATGAAAATCCGTAATTCTTACAATTTTACTTGTGAAAAGAAATTTGAGTTCATATTTTGCATGTATTAGCAAATCATTTGTTCCACTGTAGTGCTTTGAATTTTAGTAATGGCGTCTTGGTTGAAGCTTTTAGTTTTTTTAATAATGAATTTTTCAACTAATTTTCATTCGACGAATTTTCGCTTTTCCGAAAATCGCAGATCTCTCTCTTGTTCTCATTAACAATTTAGGAAAAACGGCAATTACTCTTTTATTTTGAACCAAGCAATAGTTTTCTATCATTTATTTTTACACATATTGTTTGCATCTATAAATAAATTAGACATTGATTCTTATCACACGTATGTTGCACGTTTGAAAATGAGTCATTATGTTTATTTATTCTTATATTTATAAAAATATTATGTAGTACAAAGTATGAAGATAGAACGAACAATTATCAATTTTTATGATTGGTAGAAATGGTTTAACGACATTGATTCAACTATTATCAGATATTTACGCATTTGATTTGTAATTGAATGTAAGGTATAGGTTAAAAAAGAATAATGTCCTTGGATATTTTTGTATGGATAAATAGAATATCTATACTATCATACTATTTTTATCATTTTGCATAGATTTTTCGATAATATATATGACAAAATTATTTTGTAATTTTAAAAAATTATTTTTCTTCTATTATAGATATGGGTCGCATTCTTAGATTTCTTTTTGGTACTTTATCTTTTATAATAGCATTGATTGCAATTGGTCTTGGATATTTAAAACTTGATAATGTTTATCGACAAAAATGTATGTTTAAATATATGGTTAATTCTTATTTTAAATATATTTTCATATTATTATTATTATTATTTCTTTTTTAGTCTTTGCTAGTTTTTTAAATAAAATATCCGATCCTAATAATTCTGCTATCATGAATCTACGATGTAATGAATTATTAAAACATTCTAATGTTAAAGGTCATGTATTAGAAATTGGTGCTGGTACAGGAATAAACTTTCCATGTTTATATAATAACACAAGGATTAAATCATATATAGGTATTGAACCTAATATTCATATACATCCATATTTTTATAATTTTATTAAACAATGGGACATTCCATATAAAGTTCGTCTTTTGAATAATTCAGCAACAGATATGCATGAAGTTGAATCGAATAGTATTGATACAGTTATTATGACATTAGTATTATGTAGTGTACCAGATCCATTACCAGAAAAAATTCTTCTTGAAGCACATCGAATCTTAAAACCAGGTGGACATTTTATTTTCTTTGAACATGTTGTTGCTAATCCTAAAACTAATCCATTTATTTATGGATTTCAAAAAACGATTCAACCATTTTGGGCTATTATTGGTGATGGTTGTCAATTTAAACCAATAACAAATTACTTCGATGCTATGAAAAATGTCTATTCAAAAGTTAAATATAAACATACTGATTGGCCTTCTCCGTTTTTTTTTGTTAAAGATGCTGTCAAAGGAAAATTGATCAAATAAGATGTTTTTTCTTTCCTTTCTTTCAATTCATTCACTTTTTTTTTATTGTAGTGTTATTTTTGTCTTTCATTCATAAGGCTATATATACCGGTTGTATTTCAAATGTCATGATCACTTAATACATACATATAACATCGCTACTAATCAAGCTAAATCGAACCCTTTTTTTTTAATTTGAAATAGAAAATGAATAAATTTTTATTCATAAAGGTCATTTTCATCTACAGTATAGTTTCATTTAGGTAAAAGCTACAGCTTAGTACATTTGTAAAGAAATCTTCACTTGACAAAACGATTGACTCGAATATTTTTTTTGGTACCTTCGAAAATAAAATCTTAGAGTTTTTAAGTCCATATTTGAAAAGTACACATATTCTGATGTTAACTAGTGGTCGTGACTGAAACTTGATCACAGACAATCATGGATACTACAATAATCATATATCCTGTGTCTGTGATAACTCCATAAAGTTTTCCATAACACAAATAATTTTATATATTTAGCTGATTGCGATAATTTATTCTTGCTTTTTTTTTGAATCAATACAACCAAACATAAATATTACAGGAGAAATAGTTTTCTTCTTGTTGGTTAATAATCTCGTCATTTTTATTTGTTGTTGCCTTTATCGAACTTTCAGGACAATATCATCATCGTTCAAGGAAGGAGATTACAACTTGCAATATAAAACTAGAATAAATAACTATGACAAGAAAACTTGATCACGTCGGACATGATTTCTAACCCATAGCTTTTAACTCTGTGAAAATACTCTCAAGAGAAGCAAAAATTAATAAATATTTTGTCTCAAAACTTTCGGTTCATCGATTAAAATAGTCTAACGTGTTGTGTTCCTAATATTATTTAAGTTTTCAAAGAGTTACAAATGATTTGGTGTGAAGAAATCTATGAATCATTTGGTCTTTTTAAAATATATCAAACAAACCATTCGAAAGCAATAATTAAAGAGCTGCATGATCTGAAGTTCATAATACTGATCGAAATTCTAGTAAACAACAACTTCAACTTTAAACTTTAACTTTAAAAACTTAAAATCGGGGCTGAGGAATTCGAATCTGTAATCGGTTTCTCAATATTTTGAACTTGATTTTCTACAAAAAAAAGTATTTTACAAAAAAAGTAGATTTAAAATAAGAACATTTTCTTCCCACCAAAACCAAGCTCAAAATTTTGAGAAACCGATTACAGATTTGGATTTCTCGACTTCGATTACCTCTGACTTTTTTCTTAAAAAAGCTTTTCTTCATTAGAAAAACGTTACTCTAACATAAGTTGACTTTGTTAAAGTTGACGTTTAAAGTTGAAGGATGCTACGCTACTTTATTTTGAACTGTGAAGTAAATTTAAAGTGCCAACCCTAATGTGTAAATATAAGACTTGTTACTCGATTATAATCTATACGTGGTTCATAGTCCAAGACAATACTTTCAACAGAAATAATTCCTTCATCTTCAGCTTTATAAGCTCACATAGATCCTTGAATACAATCACTGATAATATAAATATCTTTACGTGTTCCTTGAAAATTTTTATCAACTTCAATTCGGCCAAGTTGATTCAATTTAATACCTTAAATTAAACCAAAAAGAAACACAATGCAAATTCAATGGTAATCATTTAAAAAATTTTCAAATATAATGTGATCGAAAAAAAGAGAAAGATGAAATCTGTAAAGTATTTGATGTCACTATTGACATTCCATGCAATCAAAAATATTCTGACTCATAAGGTAAAATAGGTTAAAACCCTCTAATGACATGTCTAATTGGCCCAATCTCGTTGTAAAAGAATTGTTGAATTGAAATGTATATTACGATAGAGTTTTTTAATAATTTTTGGTATGCATGATATGAAACAGAACTGCATGGGTTGGTGAAATAGTATCATCATTTCAAAGGAGTCCGAAAATGCAAGAGACATTAGAAACCGAGAGAAAGAAGCTTGTTTCTGTAATAATGTGAATGAACTTAATAATAATAGTCATACATGCATCTGTAACGAACCTATTATCGAGACTAAAATAAAAAGTAGATCAAAATTTTCTGAAAAACTTTTGACAAGAATCGGATAAACACAATCAAGTAAGATTTTACGCGAGGTTGTTGAAACAGTTTTTTTGGAAAACTATTTCGTTGCATTTCAACTGATGCCATTGTCATTCGATAGGAAAAATCGTTCTCTTTTGATTTACACAAACCTGACATTCCTAACTTGTTCTATTCCAAAGATCTTAATTTCAGCCTGAAAACTTTACAGCTCTTCGAATGATTTTAAGACAAATGTAATTCATCGGGCTGAATCTAGTGGTAATATTTGTTATCAGATCCAAAAGCATTATAATAAGACTTTCGAAAGCTCAAATTTTACTGCTAAATCTGAAAAGTCAGTATTTCGAATATCTTGTTATAATGGTTTTAGATCTCTTTGAAACTGAATAGAAACATTACCACTCTACTCAATGTGATGAACTGCCCTTGTCTTGATCATTCTCTGTCTACTCCAAAGTGATTAAACCGAAATCTGCATCTCTAGAAAACACTCAGAACTCATGATCAGAACAAGTTAGAGAGACGGCAGCTTTGTGTAGATAGAATAATTATAGCATAAATCGAAATGGAACAGAATAGTTTTCAAAATCTCTCAGAAAACTCATCTGATTGATCGATCCCTGGACCAATCAACTCAAACTCAATTTTATGATTTTTGATGTTTTCTTTTTAATAGTGAAATCTACAGGTCTCTATTTTATTTCTACCAAAAGCTATTCGGAAAAATTGATAGGCCTCATATTTTGTCGTCAATAAAAATTGGAGATCGAACGAAAATACTCTACAAATTTATTTACTAAGAATGAACAGTTTGACTATTGTTATGTAGCACAGCTGGAGAACCATGTGTTAGATATGCATTGGATAGTTATGAAAGAAGAGAAGAGGTTCAAATCTTTTATTTTAAAATAAAATACACATAATATTTCATGGCTTTATATGATAAACCAACAGATATAGGTACTAGTGTATTATTTAGATGATCAAATTCAAAAACTCATTATAATATAATTCCAGAATCTCCCTAATATCTTACCAACACTATCAAGACCAAGATCTTTAGTATATGGTCTTTGACCAATACATACAAATAGAATGTCACAATCAAGCTATTTTAATAGAAAACTGTATAAGTCAATAATAAAATAGAAAAGAAGTAATAAAATAAATACTGTGTTTTTATTACCACCTTAGAGCTCCTTCGACATTTACAGGAATATCTCCATTTGTTTTTCTAGCATCAGCTACTTTTGTATAAAGTTTAAATTTCAATCTCTGTTTTATTAAAATTTTTGGAAAAGTTTTGTTTATATTCATATCAATACCAATATTATCAAAACAGGATAAAATTTCAATAGATGTTACACCACCATCTAAACGACTCTATAAAGTAGTTTATGAAAAAAAAACAATAATAAATTTTACAACAAAATAGAAAATTGATTAAAACAAAAAAAAAACTCATCCTAATTCAAGTCTGATAAAACCTGAATCAATTAAAAACATCTTCTTCGACATTTATTTAAGTAAAAGTGCACTCTGTCAATGAAACAACCGTTTCTTTATCAATCTAATATTGTAAATTCAATGAAATACTTTCGACTATAATTCAATTTTTCATTATACTAAAGCAAAACTGTTAATAACGTATCTTCTATGCCTCTTTCTTTAAGGTTCACGATAACCAGTTATTATAATAGAGACGAGAATTATGAACTAATGCTTTTGAAAGAATATAGCCAACATTAAGACATGTTTCATCATATGTCGCAAGTAAAGATAACCACCAACTTATCTTCAATATACAAATTTTGAGTACATCTGAAAAATACTGACAAAACTAATATTCATATACTTACAATTAAGAAAGTATCGGTTTACAGATGAAATGTGTTACACAGAAGATGAACTATTCATAATTATACCATTTTCATCGTTTTAAAAAAAAACACCCTTGTCTGTCACGCACGAGCACATTAATCAAAATGACGCCAGAACACAACCAAAAGTAAAAAATTTAAGAGAGAAGTTATGGGATTATCTAGCACAGAAAGCACTCGATAAAATCAATTCGATTTTTTTCTGGTACATTAAATGCAATAATGTCTGAAACCAACAGTCCCAAAATTTTACCGTTCAATACTCTTTCTATCAGAAGTTAGTCAATACCAGTTTTGTATTACTACTATATCCATATGAGAAAAACCAACAAACAATAGCCTATAAATAGCGTTCTCGTTTTCGTTTGAACGGACCATACAATGTTTTTTATAAATTATGCTAAAAGACAGACAGTTAAAAACTGAACATTTCAATAAACTATGATGTTGCTCGACTCAATTTTTATAAGCCCAACACGAGCAAAAACATGGCTCTTTCGATTAGTCTTACAGTGTTCGTTTGATAACAATGTATCTTCTATCGAGATTCACAATCCGAGAGTTCCAAGCTGAATTTTATATATCTTATGTAATTTTTTATTCTCTACATGGTAAAAATAAAGAACTAGTAGATTCTGAACGAAACGGATTCACATCTCTCTCTCATACATAACTGTTTTTTGATGACTTTGCATGAATAGAAAAAAAATTTAGCGGTTTTTATTAACATGACAAAATGATAAACCAAAATAAACACAGTATTCAGTATCAGCATAAAGAAAAACACGATGATTGAAAAAATTTTTTAAATATTTTTCTGGTAAAAAATTCACCGCTAATCGTCCACAGCTGTACTCTACTAAAACTTAGTCTCGTTAGTCGATTTTTGGTAGGAAAACAATGTTCTGAAATGTGTTTCACTCAATATAGTTTTCATACCGGCTTCGATTATCGTGTAACAATTTTGTCATGACAATGTAAACGGCTGATATGTTCTTAATTGAAAAATCATCAAAAACCATTATGCAAAAAAGAGAGAAAGATGTAAATCCTTTTTCGTACCCGGCGTACTACTTTTTTTAAACCATTTTATAGAGAGTGAAAAGTCGCATGAAGTATATAAAATTCAGCTTAAAACTCTTTAATTCTGAATCCCGATAAGGGTTACATTATTATCAAATGCACATTTTAACACTAATCAAAAGAGCCATTTTTCATTCAGGTTGACCTTATAGAACTTGAGTCTATTAAAAATGTATTGTATTGAAGTACTCGGTTTTCACAACCGGATGATCGTGTGATTACTCTCTTAAGTCTAAATGTAGAATTCATTAGTCGATAGTATATTAGATATTTCGTTGTAGTACCACTAATTCCTATAAGATCATTCGATAGGCGGAATCATGATTTTTTTTCTCTCAATGGTGTCAAATCTTAAATATACCTTAACGAGGCGTTCAATCGGAAGCAATGCTACAGGAAGTGTTTTTTCCGGATATAATATCAAAATCGTCTTGAAATTTCGATAATAACTATGTTATTAAAATTAAATTACTTTCTTTAATTACACTTTCAGCGATACAGTATAATCTTATTAATTTAATTTTATCATGATATCTTGTAAATTTATTTTGACATGAAATAGAATGTATATTTAAGGCATTGATCAACAGATTTTACATTTAGTTTTGCACTGCTCTAAGTTTAAATAAAACTCATATTCATTGACAATTCGGTCCTTGAATCAAGTGCTAATTTTATAACTGGGTTTGTACTATTCTAACATTATCGTGAATATGTTGATGGATAGCTTTCGTCTGCCCTACTTAGCTTCAGATAAAGTTTTTCTCTCGTGATTTTTTTTCCATCTAATCATCGCTCGCGTTGCTATAGTTGATAGTGTTATTTTCTCTTGTTTTAGTTCACATATAGTTCTATCAATTTCACTTGAACACTGGCTCTAGTGAAACTACGCATGGGTTTCGAGTGTTTATCAACAGCATTGGTACTGAAATTTAAGTACGACTATTGAATAATATTCCTGTAATATTGAGTATTTCTTGAGGACTCTTATTTGCTTCGTGTATCCTTTAATGATCTATGTACAATTACTCATTAGTGTATACTCTGTTGAGTATTGTTGTTGGACATTGATTTTATTTCAATATTAAACCAACAATAAAATACAGATATACAACATAAAATAAGAATTTGTATGATATAGTTAGTGTAAGAAACATCGGTATTGATTTAACTTCATAGTTTTTGTGAAACACGATCTGAAAGGAGTGTTGAAGTGTTTAGGGTAGAAATTTTGCACCCACTCCCCGCTCCCTCCCCTGACCGTGACAGAGAAATTTCATACCCATCACAGACCGTGACAGAGAAACTGAAGTTCTAAAGTATCAGATAAACGGTTAGCTACAGATGTATCGCAAAGAAATGGAACAAAACGATTTCCATTTAATTAGTAATAATAGATTCATCGTGTTTCACATTTTTAATCCGGCAATGGATTGCGCTAACAGGTTTTGTGTACAAGATACGTTAAACCACTTTCAGTTTTAGAAAGTAAAGCAATTTTAAACAAAAATCACTAAAAAGAAATGATTTACATATTATTCAAAGAGATCTAGAAATTCTATAACAAATACATAGCTCTAATTATTACAAAACAATAATAAACGGATATTTGTAAATTGATGAATGTACTTCATTCATCACTTAAATAACACTTAATACATGTTGGACGTTTGTTCGTACTACCGCTACTATACTGTGGTATCTATCGAAGGTGTCAATAGACCTACTTTTTAAGAGAAGGTCCATGGCAGCATCAAAGAACCGAAGCACTCGTTAAAATTTAAAGTTTTGATTTTTTATGTGCATTTGAAAGGACAATGACTGAAACTAATAACCCCAAATCTTCAGCTCATTTGGAACTTTCATAGTAAAGTTAGCCTGGATCGACTTTTACCACTGTTTACGTAGTATCAAGAAAAACAATGATAAATCATCTCATTAATGTCTGATAGTATTACATTACTAAGAATGAGAGAATTTTTTCATGTTATATACCAAATGATAGGGTATGGATAGATGAAAAAAATGAGCTACATGAAATACTGTACATCATTCCTTTACTGGGCTAACATGAATGAAAAAAAAGTAACAGATTACCAGCCTACGACGTTAGACTTTTGGAGGTAAATCTGCTGCCATTTATCAAAAACATCAGATGCCAGACTGAATTTTTTATATATTGTGTAACTTTTGATTCTCAACAAAATGGCAAAAAAATTGGGAAAAAAAAAGAGTGGAATGGATACAAAAAGTAGCATATACTGTCAAAAGCTAGGTAAATAGCATCGAGAAAAACAATATTGAGCGTTTTCCAAGGGCGTTCACTTATGAAAATTTTTATTTTCCCACGAATTACAATTCTACCCTAGATCGAATGGCATAAACCATTTCTTCGAAAAACGAAAAAAATTTTCGACCCTCTTATAGACCCTTTTTTTCTTTGATAATTGAAATATGATCAATCAGGAAGATATGGGTAATAATGCTGATCACAAATATATGCTGGAAACTTATTATTAGCTGTGATTTAGTAGTATAATGACGACTTTTCTGTAGGAACATTGGAAGTTTTGTTCGAAGAAAATGACACCGAATGTCGATCCTATATCACTAAATCGTAGATAATTATGGACTTATAGCATACGGTTGCAATTAGCATTCTGACCCCTATTTTCCTGATTGATCATATTTCAATTATAAGAGAAAAAAAATTTTCCAAATTCCCGTACCCCTCCCAGGGGTCTATAGGAGGGTCGAAATTTTTTTCTTTTTCCGAAGAAATGGTCTACGCTATTCGATCCAGGGTAAAATTGTAATTCGTGGGAAGTGAAAATTTTCATAAGTGAATATCCTTGGAAAATGCTCAAGGTTGTTTTCCTCGATGCTATTTACCTAGCTTTTGACAGTATATGCTACTTTTTGTATCCATTCCACTCTTTTTTTTCCCAATTTTTTTGCCATTTTGTTGAGAATCAAAAGTTACACAATATATAAAAAATTCAGTCTGGCATCTGATGTTTTCGATAAATGGCAGCAGATTTACCTCCAAAAGTCTAACGTCGTAGGCTGGTAATCTGTTACTTTTTTTTCATTCATGTTAGCCCAGTAAAGGAATGATATACAATATTTCATATAGCTCATTTTTTTTCATGTATCCATACCCTATCATTGGGTATATAACATGAAAAAATTCTCTCATTCTTAGTAATGTAATACTATCAGCAGGGATGTGGCGAAGAAAAAAAGTGGGGGGGTGCATTGAAAATTTTTGGAAACTGACAAAGATTTCTGGATAGATTTTTCAAAAGTGGGGGGGTGCAAACCTATCTTTTTGAATTTGATGACCTTTTTTTGAAGAAAAATTGACTATTTTTGCTGCGAAAAATTGAAAATTTTCAAAAAGTGGGGGGGTGCGCACCCCCCTGCACCCCGTGGTCGCCACATCCCTGACTATCAGACATTAATGAGATGATTTATCATTGTTTTTCTTGATACTATGTAAACAGTGGTAAAAGTTGATCCAGGCTAACTTTACTATGAAAGTTCCAAATGAGCTGAAGATTTGGGGTTATTAGTTTCAGTCATTGTCCTTTCGAATGCACATAAAAAATCAAAAATTAAAATTTTGATGAGTGCTTCTTATACTGAGGTCATACTCGATGATCTCGTGCAGACTCGCTTAAGCATGACCGGCAGCGCGAACTAGATTGATTGATATTTCTGTTTTTTTTAAATTCGCTAAGTCATATGATCTTATTATAATGCATTATTCTAGTTTTAATCATATACAGAATTTACTTTCATAAAGATAGTATAAAGACAAGTTCTTGGACAATATAATGAATTGAAACAAAGAGACAAATCAGTAAAAATATTTTTTTTCATACAAGTGTGTGAACGACTGTGTATGAAGAGATGACACACATCTTCATAAAATCATCAGTTTCTGACGTTATCTTTAAGTT